AAATTTCATCACAGCTTGAAGGAGCATCACAAAATTATTAATATTCCAAAGTTTCGGTGCAAAATGTTGTAAAATGCGGAAAATATAGCCTTGCGAAATTTGCAATTTTCAGTCATTTTAGATTACAAATAGGAAATTGACAGCCCCAAACCCTTTGAGGCTGTCAATTTCCCGTTTGTAATCTAAAATGACTGAAAATTGCAAACTTCGCAAGGCTATATTTTCCGCATTTTACAACATTTCGCAACGAAACTTTGGAATATTACTAATTTTGTGATGCTCTTTCAAGCTGTGATGAAATTTTTGTCTAGATCAAAATTTAGTCTATAATGCAAATGGTCCATTAACATGCGTTGAAATCAGATTTTGTTGCAAGTTGCAGCAATTTTGTTGCAAGTTGCAGCAATTTTGTTGTTCTTGTAACTCCACCTTAAGAATACAGTCCCAATGATCCGTGCAACTGAAAAGTTCTTCCATGGATATTGCTTTGGAAATTTCTGCATGGCTGATACATGATGTGATTTTGTCGCTTGTCAGAGCGAAGACATGAAAATGTTTTGTGTTCCTTCTCTCGCTTTTGTCCTTTATGAACAGTACTAATCAAGTAATATACCTTTCATTTAAATGAAAATTACGTATTTTATTTGCTCGGTCAAAATGTCCGTGCATAATAATACTAATCGATCATTTAGTGTTTTGTTCGGCAAACAGCCGATTGCTGACCGTTATAATGCATATCCACACTGTTGGTTGTACTTCCAAATGCTTTTGATTCATCATGTTTTAAAATTCTTTTCAGCCATTGCAGGCGACGAGAAAGACTATCTCGATGGTCAGAAGACCTTGGACACTGTCGCTTTAGCTCATCACTTTCAAGTAAGAGCCGATTGACCAACAAATACTAACTACTGTACATACACTATATATAGTTTACTAGTCTCATTTATGTTAGCTATAGCTATTGGGATATATATCCATGCCTGTTGCCACGTGTTCGCCTGGTCTGGGACTTTTAATCGCAACAAAAAATTGGCAGAGATTTTCTTAAATCACCCAACCCCATAAGTTGGCACGTCTAGTAAATGGCAAAGTGTCTGCCGGTACCAATAGGCAATTCCAGCTTTTGACTAAATTTTGATCTCGGCACGAAGAACAAACTCCATCACCACAGCTAGAATGAACATGTTAAAATGAGTAAAATTGCAAAGTTTGGTTGCGAAATGTTGTAAAATACGGAAAATATAGCCCTGCGAAATTTGCAAATTTTGTATTAATTTGTATTACGCGCGGGAAAATGCACCACATTTGGGCTGAAAGCGGTGTATTTTCCCGTGCGTAATACAAATTAATACAAAATTTGCAAATTTCGCAGGGCTATATTTTCCGTATTTTACAACATTTCGCAATCAAACTTTGCAATTTTACTAATTTTAACATGCTCTTTCTAGCTGTGGTGATGGATTTTGTTCTTCTTGCCTAGATCAAAATTTAGTATATATGTAATATATGAACAACGAGAGCGAGTGTTTCACCGGGATATCTGCAAACACGAGAAAACAATGTATGAAGAAACAATGTATCGAGTTGTTTATATGGCTTCTCAAATGAATCGAGACGTAACGGAATGTTTTCGTTTGCTGATTTGAATAGAATTCTTAACCAAGCATAACGTAATTAGCAATTCTATTCAAGTAATTCTGCATGCGTAAATTAAGATATTTGATGAAAACATTAGTGACTTTCATCAAGTTTTCCCGGGTTATCCAAATGGCATCTTGTGATCAAATAGGTGATTATCATTGGCTGAATTGCTTATGAATTATTAATGAATTTAAATCTATTTAAAATTTTTCACGCTTGAAATCACAACTTCCAACAACACAAACAACAACTAAATGTTTTCGTTGTAGGAGGCGAGCAGGGGCTCGGACCTAGGCTCTATATTTGAAAAGATCCGTATCGCGGTGTACAAGAATGGAGTACGAACGACTGAGTTCTTTCGTGATCATGATAAGCTCAGGAGTGGCATTATCACAGAAAACCAGGTAGAATTGTAACTTTTCAATAATTATATGTTTTTTTCATAATCTATCAAGATACGACGGTCTGGAAACTAAACAGAAGTCATTGTATTATGTCTTTGTCGGAGTTTATGTTAATTTGTGCACGGTCACGGTAATTGAGCTCATTGTATTTTCGTACAATAATTATTATTTTATTTATCCTGCATGGATATACCGACATCACATGCGTGTTTTTCAGTGGGGTCCCGCATCAAAAATACAATCATTTACAATACTTGCTCGTTCACTGTTCGTTCATCAGAAAACTCATGCTGTATATTCTATACCATGCGGTGACTGCGAGAAAGAGTATTTGGGTCAGTCTAAACGCCAGTTTGGTACACGGCTAAAAGAACATCAAAAGGCTGTTTCAACTTTAGACAAGGGAAAATCAGCTTTAGCCGAACATGTATGTTACACCAAACACGAGATTGCGTGGGAAAACTCTAAAGTAATTACCACAAACAATCGCTATTTACAATACTGTCAATATTTAAACAGTATACACATGAGTATAAATATAAACAAATAATTATGTATTATGTATAAGGATAGCTGATATGAAACGTGCAACCACGATGTATAATATTTAATGAGGTTGAGACAAAGGATTTGTGCACCGCGTGAGGTACAGTTCAACATCAAACAATTGAAAACAAAAGAATTCCATTTTGTGGCTTTGAAATTTGCCGGCTTTCCAGACCATCATATACCTTGACAGTATGGTTTTTTTGGTAGTATTGTGTATAGCAAAGCCTATATATAGGGCCAAAAAAAATATATGTGGGTTTCCGGTTTCTTCTTATAAAAACTTAGGTAGGGTAGGTCGGTTTTAACTCTTTTTTTTAACTTTTTTTTAAATTTTCCTAACAACCGGACGCCATTTTGTTTAGTCAGTGCTTCCACATCCAAAGATAAATTTCCCTAATATTGCCTCAAATTTCAATTTTCCACAAACTTTTTCCTCTAAGTGGAAACACTTACAAGCATAATCCAATAAAAAGTTTAGAGCCGGGATTTCGACGTCCAAAAGCTAGGTAGGGTCGGGAAACCGGAAACCCACATATTTTTTTTTTGCCTAGCTAGCCAATCTCTTTACCCATTCATGCTGCAATACGCCCTACTTTATTCTTTTACTCTGTCTAACGTCAGACGATTTTATACTCGTTATGGGAAGAATCATGCGCTTTAATGGTTAATCATGTAGGTTAAACGCATCTGTTTGGTTAGTGGTCCCTTATTCGCGATTTATCGCACCGTGTGACGTCGAATAGAGGGTCTAACATGTTTTCTTTAATTATCATTTGACGCAGTTCGTGTGTGGTTTATCTCTGTGTTGTGGTACTATTGCGAACTTATCACGTGATGAAATACAACAAGTTGTTGATTTCTATCGTACAGAAGATGGCCGTGTACGCTATAAAGAATTTTGCCATATGATGGAGAATGGTAAGTCTGTCTTATGGATAAAGAAGCTATAGATAACTATAATGTCTGTCTGTTGTCGTGGGATTTTACAACAAGATCCGTGTATTTGGAATGAAAACGCACGGAAAAACGGACACAGAACTTACGGAAAGTTGGAGACATCTGTGGAGGAGAGACCAGCCGTGGCCAAATTGACAATGAGATTTTTGCAAAACTTGTAGTAAACAAGCAGCCATCTACACACGGAAAATGCACAAGTTGTATACCAAGGCTGCAGCAGACTTGTAGCAATGTTGTTCCAACGACTTGTCAACACGATGTGTTCGTACGGCTTGTTCCCAGCTTGTTGACAAGTTGTCAACGGCTTGTTGACAACTTATATGCTACAAGTTGTTGAGCTCAACAGTCTTTGGTTACAAGTTGTTCCATTGTTATCGTCCTGCAATAGGCAATTCCAGCTACAGACTAAATTTTGATCCATAGGCAAGAAGAACAAAATCCATCACCCAAAATGTTAAAATTAGTAAAATTGCAAAGTTTGGTTGCGAAATGTTGTAAAATGAGGAAAATATAGCCGTGCGAAATTTGCAAATTTTGTATTAATTTGTGTTACGCGCGGGAAAATCCACATATGGGCCGAAAGTGGTGCATTGGGCAGACGTACCCCCAAAATTACGGATTTTTGCCTAATTGATTCCAACATTCCTTAGTCCCTGATCGAATCCCATCATTCCATGCAATCGTATTTCATGGCTAGGCAAGTCAGAGATGTTGGATTTGTATGCATATATAGCTATACTTAATTATTGTTTTGAAAATAAATATGCAAATACATCCCTTGGATCGAAGAGCATTTATGATCTTCACATTGTATTTTGTATTCTATTTTCAGCCTTTACAGAACCCGAACTTGAAAAGAAACCAACCACACAAACTCTTCGACCACCTGTTGGTGCTCTCATGAAGGTATGCTTCCTAGCATTGCTGTATAGGTGCTGGTCAACTCTCAAGGAATTCTCATCGCGTTCTTCCCAATATTACCACCAACGTGACATTATTCGACATGATACTTTATGACACCCAACATAATATGACCCCATCATGATGTGACCCAAACATATGATATTACTCCAACATAATATTACTCCAACATGATATTATATGACTCCAACAAAACATTACCCCATGCAACAATTTGATATGACCCCAACATTATTACCCTAACGTTATAAATTATTATCCCAACGTGATACAGTATGACCTCAACGTGGTATTGCTCCACTTCGTAGATAGGACTCCATGCTACATGGAACAACGGACTCATTTTTGCCTAATGGACTGGTCATAAAGTAACTGCTAGGGTGGGCTGGAGGTAAATCACAAATTTTGACAATAAGTTTGGTGACCCATCTTAGGATGTAGATAAAAAATTCAAAGCCCATCTAATCTTAGCAAATTTATTTCATGACCCACCCAATCTAAATTGGGAAAATACAATTTTATAACAAAAAAAAACTTGCAGGTATCAACATTGTAAATATACACCGGCACTGTATTGACATATACATAATTACACCAACACATTCATCACCAATTACGATACTGATTACTGAGCTGCTCTCCAGTTGGTTGTATTTACTGTGATTCGACCACTTCTTGTTGTTGTATAAAACAAAGTACTGGCTTCAATAGCATCATTTGCATTTGATAATTTGGATAGTTTTGTTTACTTTTATTATTAATATCTTTATGTAATATATAATTAACATGGGTTATTGTTTGTTGGCACAACCGTGGACATACCAAAAAATTGATGGCGGCCCATCGAAACTGCCCAAAGATTTTCCATGGCCCATCTCAAATCACTCCAGCCCAACCTAGCAGTTACTTTATGACCGGTCCCTAAAGGGGGTTTGATGGTATAGTAATTCATAGTTATTTCCCAGGTTCCCAACACGTTGAGCGCTCACGAAGAACGGCAAGTTCAAGAAATCCTCGAGCGTTTGGCAAGTGAGGTGAAAAGAAGACGTCTCATGGTCTATCCTTTCTTCAAAGATTTTGATAGGGTAAAGTTTTGCTATAATTACACCTGTTGTAAACGAACCAATTTGCACTGGAGACCGAATCGCATTAAGGCGCATGCATGCATTTACACGCTGCGATCGTCGTGTACGATTCGTATTCTGGCGTGTACGATCAGACCACGACGCTAAGAAACTAGAGCAAGTGGTTTGTCAGAATAACCAAATTTTAGAAAAACTTCATCATAAAAAGCAAAGTTATTTGACGAGTGAAAACCAAGTTCAGAAAAAAACCCGCGAAGAAACACCAGCAAACCTTTGTTTTTCATGGGTTTGAACTAAACACAGAATAATAATAGTACTTAGTTTTTTGCTTTTATTAAGTGGGGTATTGACCACTAAAAATGAGCATTTATGTGCAAAAATTGAAAAACATCGATCGGAAAACTCTGTCATTTTTCAGCTCGCATGTTTTATACCAACAAGAGATTACTCTATTGGCCGCCATCTTGGTTTCAGCCAATCATGTATAGAGTTATCAGCAGTATTTATAGAGTTCACTGTATACGATTCGCTTTCTCCATCTTAAGGTAATTCCGCAGTAATTGTTCCCGAAATGAGAATGTGCTGAAACTTCCCAGGCATGGAGTTTCTGATATACTTGAAGTAAAATCACACCAAAAAGTCGGGGTCACCGAACTCAAGAAGATATGACAATCACAATATACCACCTTTACCGCAATATGGCGCCATCTTGACGCTTATTACGAGTAACAGCAAACTCACAACAGCCCGATATTTATTGACTTTTTAGCGCGGATTTTGCTTTAGTAAACCTGTCTTGTAATTATTTTTGAAAAAATATTGTGTTTTGAGCAAAATGAAACTACTAACGTGTACAATTCTGATCAATTCAAAATGAAACTACTAACGTGTACAAATGTCTTTTGCACATTTCTTTACATATCTTTCTTTGAGAACATGCATTGATAAAGCATTTTTTTTTCAAGATCCAGAAATGATTTCTCTTTTAATTTCGGATATGAAATGTAAAATGCATTAAAGAAATAAATTATCAGTTAAAAAACGGGGGTCACCGATCTTTTTGGGGAATTGTGGCATTAAAACGTCAAATACAAGTAAATATACTACAGACACAGAAACCCTAGCTACACTTTTGTATGCCTTTTTTGAAAACATTGATTTTAACGTAATTCTTTGCACGAATGTAACCAAAGATGTTGTGAAGTAACATAAAATTGTCATAAAATGATATTTTGTTTTAAAGGGTAGGTATAATGGATGAAATTATAAGTTATAAGATTTGCGCAGTAAACGTGCGCAATGCAAAACTGCGGAATTACCTTAAGTTTATCTTATAAATCTCAAGAGATTGATTTCAAACCACCAATATTGCTCCCATAGAAAGCATGTCGAGAACCTGTCCACTATGTAGCTTCTTCCACAACAATATTTTCTAAATCTTTTATCTACAGAGTAAAGCATACACTCGTGGCATAACAAAACCTCAATTTGAAAGAATGCTCCATGTGTTGAGTTTGAACCTACAGGCAAACGAACTTGTTGTAAGTATCATATAGTCTCGATCACTGTGTCATGCCAAAAGTAATTTAATAATATTCATTGCTTTATTTTTTTTTAATTTCAGCTTATCTGTAAGAAGTTTGAGTATCCAGTCGGTGGAGACATCAATTATCCAGCGTTTATCCAAGCCATCGATCCTGGTAGGTAGAGAAGCCTATGAAACGATTTTGAATCGTTTTGAATGATTCAAAATCTTTTCAACCAAAGAAGTTGAGAAAATAGTCGAAGATAAAAACTCGAAGAACACCCGATAACTACAAGAGTGGCGACACAGGATTTCAAAGAATATATCATGAAATATATTTGCCATGATGCAAAAGAGCCACGGCATTGTACAGCTAAATGTGTAACCAATTCAATTTTTGTTTGTCGAAAATTTGTTAGTGTCACAGAATGAATCACAAAGTAATTGTTGGATTTGACTTCGCAGCATATTCAGAATTTTTCAAACCTCTGTCAATGTTATTCGACTCAGCCGTCGTGTTCTGCAAATAGAATAGAATAGAATAGAAATCTTTATTTACCCACGTAAAAACTGATTCACAAAAGTGCTCTTCCAGAGTGACGTGCATTAACTATATATACATAAATAAAGTTACAAAACTAATGACATGAAAAATTAATATAAAACTATAATATAATATCATACTGTATAGGCTATACGCTATTGGAGAGTTACACACTAAATTTTAGCGACCCCTTAAATTCTGTTGTCAGAACATGTCTTGGAAGAGAATTCCAGATTACAGCTCCGCTGTATGAAAAACTCTTTTTGAGAAGATTGCTCTTTGGTTTTGGAGGTAAAAGATTTAGATCAGAGTTTCGCAAATCATGATCATGTACTTGATTGGTTTCGCGAAACAAATCTTTTAAATACTCAGGAGCCAAGTTGTTAAGCACTTTGTACATCATGATAGCTTTTTTAGTTCTTCGGTCATGAGCAAGTGCACGCCACCTAAGTTCAACAAGTAATTGACTAGATGAAGCGTCATACGCGCTCTTTGTGATGATTCTGGCTGCCCTGTTTTGCAATATAACATTGACCTCGGTCTGAATAATTCTGAATGTCCTGCTCAACCTCATCCAACAATTGTTACTAACTGTTATTGAATTAATCCATTTAATAAACAATCTGGGACCGGATGTTCAAAGCTCAATTAGCACTAACCCTGGGTTTTGGTTTTAACCTGCATGCTGAAATAAAACTTGATAAAATAAAACAAGATTTCTTGAAAAAGTAAACGTTTTCAATCTATTGTATGGGAAGTTTTTTCGTTAACCCAAGATTAAGCCAACGAGCATGCAATGAAAACTACAATATGTCCACGTTGTATTGTGTTCTCTATTTCAGAATACGTTGCCTCCTCCAAAGACTTGATATCCGACGATGATTTCAACAGGTAAGCTTAACCAGTGGCGGAAACGTTGCGAATTTTTTTTTTTTTGGGGGGGGGGCGAGTTCCGAAGGCACGAGATTTCTAGGGGGTATGGAGGAATGCTCCCCAGAAAATTTTTGAAATTTGGATCAGTCCCTGAAATGGCATTTGCAGCATTCTAAGAGTACATTCTGTAAGAAATTTCAGGTTTTCAAAACATTAATTTAATGGTGCATCTTGTTATAAATCATATGCTAAGCATAAAAATGATTAAATACATTTGTGAATGGAATTGCAAGGTGGTTTAATGGACCATTTGCATTATAGACTAAATTTTGATCTAGACAAAAATTTCATCACAGCTTGAAAGAGCATCACAAAATTAATAATATTTCAAAGTTTCGTTGCGAAATGTTGTAAAATGCGGATAATATAGCCTTGCGAAATTTGCAATTTTCAGTCATTTTGTATTACAAACGGGAAATTGATGCCCCAACACCCGATTGGGCTGTCAATTTCCCGTGCGTAATAGAAAATAACTGAAAAACGTCCCGCGCATCGTCAGCTTCTAGAAGCTTATAATATAGACTAGCCATACCTTTCGCCGAACATAACTTCGGCCCCTTCGGACGTATCTTCTTTGTAATAGTCTTGTTCGAATCGCTATTAAAAGCACGATTTAGAGTGTTATTTTCGAGCTTGTATCTTCAAATTTGCATCTTTATCACGGCATTTCCATTTCTGATCAGACTGTGAGCTAATCCCAGCTGAAAATACAATTTCAAAACGTCAAAACAATGCGACGTTTCTATCGTACAGTATGACTCTGGGAATGCCAGAAATCGTTTCTCAAGGTAAAAGTGCACCTATACGCGTGATTTTTGACGTCTTCCAGCTACGGGAGCTCCTTATTGGACAGGAATAGCGCGTGGCACGCGGGTTACATTTTTCGAAATGAAAGCTAGCTAAAATTATTGGGGGGGGGGGGCGATTGCCCCCCTGCCTCCTCCCCCTAGTTTCCGCCACTGGATTACACAACATTTGAAGAGTTAAAACATAGAACTTTATTAATATTGTATATTTTGATAGATATTAGAGCATATTTCATGAAAATAACATAATTGATTTTCTTCAAACTAGATCTGAGGATCCTCAGCCACCACGCCCGCTGGATTTGAGCTCTGTTGATTTCGGCGATCTCATTGGTCGTATTCGACATCACGTGTTAACCAACAGAATAAGGGTACGAGTCTCGCGAAATGTTTGAAATTCTTGGTCTTTGAGTTTTGGCATACAGCCAATTCAAAAAAGGTTGTCCTTTGCAAACCTTAATTAACGGCTTAATAAATGGGAACACAAGTTTCAAGCTTAGTAGTTGAATATTGCAGCTATTTGTGAATGAATTGTTCTCGTAAGGAGATATTTACCATGCCTGTGATGCCTCTACGAATAGACAATTCCCATTTTTGACTAATTTTAAAATTAGGCAAGGAAACTCAAATAAATCACCACAGCTAGAAAGAGCATACTAAAATTAGTACAATTACAAAATTTGGTTGAGAAATGTTGTAAAATGAGGAAAGTATAGCCTTGCAAAGTTCGCAAATTTTGTATACTTTTGTATTGCTTGCGGAAATTCCTACCACATTCCTACCACATTTAGGCCGAAAATGGTCGCACGCAATACAAAAGTATACAAAATTTGCGAACTTTGCAAGGCTATATTTTCCACATTTTACAACATTTCGCAACCAAATTTTGTAATTTTACTAATTTTACTATGCTCTTTCTAGCTGTGGTGATTTATTTGCATCTCCTTGCCTAGTTTTAAAATTAGTCTATAATGGGAATTGTCTATTGGGCCCCATATATGATTTCTAAACTGATTAAATGATGCTCCCATTATGCTTTGCGCGCTTAGAGTTTAAGGTTTAGAGTTTAACGTTTGCAAAGGACAACCTTTTTTTGAATTAACTGTAATATTACAGGGACATCATAATGTTGATGTGAAAAAAATCGTATTCAACGTTATTACGTCATGTTGTAGAAATACGGATTAGAAATGTGGAAACACGACCAAAACAGTATGTCTTTGAATTTTCCATTGAAATGAATCGAACTGGAATGCTACCTTCAGATAAACTGCCTATTTTTTATTGAAGCCAAATCTGACACGCGTGTTTATGTCTCGCAACTCACTGGCGACACGACTTTTATCGCAGAAAAATGCTTTTTCAATAAACAATTATTAGAAAACGCTCTACGTATGCATGAAAAGAATGGGACTGGCCTTCACGTTTGACTTCAAATTTCCGGTTGAAGGTAGTGTTCCAGTTGGCCTTAATTGAAATAGTTGTATATTTCCTTCATCGTTTCAGGTGGAGGAATATTTTCAAGATTTTGATCCTCTGCGCAGTGGTTCAATCAGCAAAAGTCATTTTCGTCGAGGTCTCAGCTCACTTGGTCAACATCAGCTGACTGATGCGCAGTTTGAGGTCATGGCGCTGTATTATTCTGATCCCAAGAGGTCCGGGAATGTGATATGGACACAGTTCTTGAGAGATATTGAACAAGGTAATTTTTATTTCTTATCAGTAGGGGGAGGTGGTCGGTAATCCAGAAAAAATTATGTTTTTTGCAAACCGTTTCAACTGATGTTGTTTTAGAAATTGATTGAAACAAAATGGCACCTTCTCAAAATCACAACGTTCAGCGAAGCCAATCAAATGCTTGTGTTTTGGATGACAAATTGCGAAACCAATCAAATATGCTTGTGTTTTGGCGAATTTTTTCTCTGCTGTGGAAATCACTACGATAGAAAATTTTCGCACAAGTGTGTTTTCGCGCGAAATTTTTCGCATTTTGCTCGTCGTGGAATTAGGCCTTAAGGTCTAACAAACGCATAAAATTCACAGTAAAAATTTTCATCTACAACATCCTGCAACATAGTTGAATCGAGTGAGACGCCCAAATTAAAAATTCTGGTATTTACCCAATGTTACTAATTAGTTCACACCCTGTTTCAAAACTGTCTGCGTATTGAATTGTAGTGTTCACGAAACGCGGTCTTGAGAAGATACCAACGTTTGCTGTGCCGTCCAGTGAAACATTCTTGATGGACAAACCTGGGGCAAGGACAGATCTTGAGGCGACGGAGCTGCTGGATCAATGTATGCATCGGTTGCGTGAAAGAACGAAACAACGAAGACTTCTTGCTAAACCATGTTTTCAAGATTTTGACAAGTAAGGCTTGTTTTGCTTGAGACGAATGGGAAAGTTGAGTAAAGGCTGATCTCCAGTCACGCGTTTTTCATACGTTTTTCATACTTTTTAAATGTTTATACTTATGAAATAACTGAATGAACAGAAGGAAAGCATATAGTTTCGTGCATAATTTAATGTGCATTTGTACAGGTAGTTCATTCTAGTGTTAAATTTTAAAATATTTAAACTTTCGCACGTATGAAAAACACTTGACTGGAGAGCAGCCTTAGGTAGGGATGGGCAATACCAGCTTTTTCATTCGATACGATATTTCCTCGATATTTGCCGGGTTTTTTCGATATCGATACCGATATACCGATATTTTCCCAACTTGAACAACCATTAGATTAGATTAGATGAGGCAACAACACTAACAATATAAACATTTAATAATATTTGTCAGTGATTGCAACCAACAATAACCAGAAACTCCGATCCTGTCCGTGGACCATTATAGCACCATAGAACATGAACTATTTACGCCTATTTAGGCTTTTTGGTATCATTTTCATGATGTGATGCCGCTGACCAAAATGAAAAATATCGCAGGCGCAGAAATATCGAAACATCGATATTTCTCGCCAGTATTGATACTTTTCTTCAAAACCCTGATATCGATAGTATCGAGTATTTGGTATCGATATCGGCCCATCTCTAGCCTTAAGGCTAGTGCATGAGCTCCATTATGTATCTAGAGCGAGACCTCGAGTCCAAAGAGTGAAGCCAAGATTGCAGAAATTGACATCCATTAGCTATGAAGGTCATGAACAGTCTTAATACCATTTTCCTGAGCTAATTCCAGTTTTTCTAACGGACCGTATCGCTAAACAAGTTATCAGTTCATAAAACCATAGTGTTATTCTTTAAACAGGGTTCGTACAAAACTTGAAAGTCCTTGAATGTCCTTGAATTTGAAAACAAAAATTCAAGGCCTTGAATGTCCTTGAATTTGTAAAGAAGTACTTGAATGTCCTTGAATTCTTCTTGCTTTAGTTCTTGGATATTATCTGAAATTGTTTGACATTCAAGACGGACATTTTGTTGAACTGATGTTGCATGTTCATATCTGACCTCATTATAAAGTTACATTTTGAACAATTCAACGTCAGATTTTGCTGATTTCTAACGCCTTCTTCAGTATTTAGTCCTTGAATTTGCTGATACATGGCCTTGAATGTCCTTGAAAAGTCCTTGAATTTGACTCTTCATGACATGTACGAACCCTGTTTAAATCGATGTCAAAATACGAAATTTCTGCACACTCCTTGCCAGCTTTGTGTTAACCGCGCAGACAACATAATAAAAAGGGACTGGAACTGACATCCAATAGCTCTCTTTGCTTCACTTTTTGGACTCGAGTTTTCGCTTCAGGTATGTATGGAGCTCTGCACTAGTTGGGGCTCGGTGGCTCGCTATAATTTTCATATTTGTGCATTTTAATATTTAAATTATTCAAGCCAATTCTAACGCGATGTTGAATCTCTTTGTTGTAGACACAACAATGGCCATGTAACAAAATCCCAATTTCGACAATGTCTGCAACATTTGGAGTTAAATGCAACTGTCAAAGAGATGGAGGTACCATGCAGGGCTTATATATTTATTTTATATTATGTATTTAAAACACGAGAAGGAGTGTTTTATCATATTTAAAACGCGAGGCGCATCCGAGCGTTTTAGATATGATAAAACGCGAGTTCGAGTGTTTTGAATAGCTTAAAATACGACTACAAAAGAATGCTAATTAGGATGAACAATTATATAATCATACTAATTAGGATGAACAATTATATAAAGAATACTAATGAAGATGAATTTTATCAGATATAAAGTCACTCCACGTGACATATTATGGCTGACATGATTTGCCACAAGGTTTATGAATTTTTAATGAGTATTTTAATAATAAGTAATATAGCATCATGACTTCTCGTCCAATTTTGAAAAACATGCGTTCGTGAGTTTTTCAAAGACTTCAAATTGCACTTGTCCTTCCCGTGCAGATTTGATCGTCTTAGAAAAACTCATTCGTACATTGCGCTCAAGACCACACTATATATTATCCCCAGGGATGGATCCAACATACGATGGGGGGGGGTGTGCTCTGCCAGCTCTGGTGCCGAATTGTGTCGGTGATCACCTGGGCCGCCCGCCCATCAACTTGTTGACTACTGTATTTGAATTGTAGTCGTTGTTCACAGTTCGCTTATCATCATGTTATTATACTCAAATTACTGTATCTCATTTTGTCCATAATATTTTTTTGCTTTATCATGAAAAATAGCACCACCCGCACCCCCTCTGACCAGGGATAGGAGGGTGCACCCCCCCAAAGAACATTAAATTATCCAAAACAGTGTTAATTTTAGATTAACCAGAAAATGTTTAATTAAGAGATTTTTAGAGCATACAAGTTATTTTCTTGCTTTATTCGTAGGTAATGGAAGAAAAATTCTCAGACGATATTGGTGTTAATTACATCCGATTTTTGGAGGAATTACAGGTATGTACGTTTTCCAATTACACTAAACTACTAAAGGATCTTTTTCCCTCATTGAGGCAAATTAGTCGTTACTCGCATCTCGCGAGACAAAGGATTCGAGGTAACTACGATATTATTAAAATAAACTACCAAGCAATGTGATTGGACGCACATGCATGCACGTATTCGCAGCAAGCTTGTGTCTTGTTTACGATGAGTGGAAAAGAGCCTTACAGCCTTTGGGCAAATAGCCTGTTGGGAAGCCTCTTATCAATGAGTGAGAAATTCAGTATAGTTTCTCTGACTCTCAAATTTGATGAAGTTGTTTTTTTCAGCCAAGCGAGAAGGAGGTGAACAGCTACGTTCGTAGACTGGAAGAATTAAAACTTGTTAACAACAAAGTGGTAAGTTTACCATGTAGTAACCGCGCTAGTTCCGTCGTTCCATTTGTGGTAAATTATTTGTTTTGTACTCGGTGTTAAAGCTCAAGCAAAATTTCATATCAAATTCCCTTGCAGATGCCGGACCATGGGTCAGAGGATATTGAACGTATACTGCAAAAGATAAAAAACAAGGTAATCTCTAGGAAACAAACTACATAGAAGTTCCATCTTGAAATATTTAAGTGGAACAAGAACACACAATATTCACCAGTGATATTTCGAATTTATTGCAAATTCACCAGACTAATTTACACAAGCTAACTTATATAGGGATATTTAACAATTATTCGCCTCAGGCTCGGTGATTATCGGGGAATATTCGCCGAGACGAAGTCGAGGTGAATATTCCCCGATAATCACCGAGCCTGAGGCAAATAATTGTTTTAGTATTTTTGCACAAGTTTTTTTTTGTTTTTCTGGTCTGAATTCATATTTTAGTTTCGCTTATTTCTTTATCACTAACTTCAACAAAACGGATAGCCGCCATTTTGAAAATTTCGATTTTGTTATATTTACCTGTAGGTGAATATAACAGATTAATACGTCAAATTTGACCAATCACCTTGTAGGATTTGTTATGTTCACTTGTGCAAAAATACTAAATATATATATATAGGACAGTGCAACCGATGATAAGCTTAGATAGAATTTTCGATCTCCATTAATAATTATAAGTGTGTAAAATCTGGAACACAGCCATTGCATTTTTTCCCCTGACAGCAACCTGTATTACATAAAATTGTAGGAATTATTGTCCACGTAGTATTCTGTAAACTATCATTTCAATTTCTCTTCAGGTTGTGAAAGAGCGTATCCGTGTTTTGGAGTTCATGCGTGACTATGACAAGTTACGAAGTGGTCGAATGTTAAAGACATATTTTGCTCGAGCTCTTGATCTCTGTCAGCTGGGACTGACTAAGAAAGAAGTTGATATTTTGACCAAAGTGTAAGTAAGAGTTGATATATTGGTCGCTTGGGGGGGGGGGGGGGGGGATTTAGGTTGTAACCATGATGAAACCATTTTGTTGCTGAAAATCTTATAGTTCCTTGGACATTTTGTCCTCAAATTTCATGCGATATATAGATTAATCTATGGCCAACCACGGTTGTTGTGACTGCTTTGGTACACAGTTATCCCGCTATCAATTGAAAATTATGGGAGGGACGTATGGTTGCCCCCAGTTATTGATCCACTTAACATAATCTGGTGGATCATAGGGCGCTTTCCATTTAATGGCCTGACCGGTCAGACCCGAATTTTTGTCTCTGTATCAATGGAAAGATCCGGTCTATGTTTCTCAAATATCTAGCGAAAATAAACCTCATTCTTATTTTGGCTAAATTTTCTGGTCAGATATGTCCGAAGCTCAAAACGTTTTGTGTCCCATTCAACAATTTGGCCGTTCTTACCGGTCTGGCAGTGTTAATGGAAAGCGGCCTTATAACCATGCAGGAAGTCATTGTTAAATTAACTCTAGCCAATATGTTTAAATAACCAGGGAAAAGGTTACTGTTATAGGAAAATTTACCGAAAATATTAAGTTAATTGCTAAATAGGGTTATTTCTGTGTTAACCAGATTTTAATCTGAAACTGTATAGTAAAGTTGGCGCCGGCATCCTATCTTTAATGCAACACTGATCTCGTACCCAATTCGTCTTAAGATGCAAGTTTTGAAGTTGAACAATCTTATGTACTATTACTATAATTACGTAGGTGATTATTGAAAATTCTCCACGCTGATTGGTTGCCGTTGAGGTGATTATAACGCGATAATCACCTATAAGCGATTTGTGTATCGAAGAAATGTGTATTTTTTATTTTTTTCCCAAATAATCACCTATGAAATGAAACTAAAACAATTATTCACCTCAGGCTCGGTGATTATCGTGAATAAAAACCTCGACTTCGTCTCGGTTTTTATTCACTATTCACCGATAATCACCTCGCCTTTGACCTGGAATAATTGTTAAATATTGTTTTTCATAAACTTGAGTTCTGTTATTTTTGGCAGATCTAAATTGGGAAATTACTTGCTAGACATAATTGAGAAAACGGCGTATAATAATATAGACCGATTCGAAAAATAGTTATTCTTTTTTCTCCCGACTGAATTAATTTCAACCAAGGTAATCACTGTCGCCTTATAAGAATACCTCAAAACTGAAGTATAAATATAATACCATGTATTCTCTTTGAGAAATTAAAAGCCTGACTATAGCCTCATTTTTGCGCTTTTTTTGGCACAACTGAAAAGGCTATAATTGCAAAACTGTGATAGCTATAGATTCGAATCGGTGAATAACGCCGAATTTTTGACTGTATATAGCTGACACCCTTCACTTCCGACCAAAACGTGGACTGGTCTGACATATGAGCAAGTTTTGAGAATTATATTGAATCCACTTTGTTGACTTTGTTTTTGATCAGGTATACATCTTCACACGATCCTGACTATGTGGACTACGTGGAGTTCTCAGACTACATTGAATCTATATTCACTTTGAAACGTAAGTCTCGAGTGATTTTTGACTAGCGTAGTTTAATTTATATTAGACCACGGCTTTAGACGTGTTGGGATCCACAGGGCGGTACAGGGTAGAAAAAAATTAGGGGGTTGGACAAAAAAATTTCCATTGATGGAAATTACCCGACATTATCATGGGTTCGTTGATAGATGAATAGCAGGTAAATAGAAGGAACTCGTCACTCGTATTCAGACGCGCGGAAATACAGTCAATCTTATAAAACGATAAATAAGATATTTTGACCTATTTACGAGGATTTCTAAGATTTCATTCTTTAAGTTTTAGATACATGTGTATCAACAACGATCAAAAACTCTTATGCGTGAAATTTGAAATTAATGAATCTAAACATTAATATCACGACAAAATACATTATACCAAGAGTACCAAGCCAGGCGAGCAGGCCATGCAGTCCCCACACCGGTCTGAAGTCAACCTCGTACCCAGGGCTTTTACAATAAGCCCAGAAGCCCTGTGTACGAGTTTGCTTAGAAGTCATCTCGCTCGCTGGACCGAACCGACTATCTTCAGACCGCGGGATGAATGTAAACATGAATACATTTCACACCGGTTTCAGCTGTACTCTTGGCTTCGGAGCAATACATGCTCACAAAAGCACCGTAAAAAAAAAACACGAAAATGGTGGGCAATGGGAATAAATTGAAAACCATTTGTGATGATTTTCGCCGTAACGCGTTATCATTAGCGAATTTAAGCAAGGCTTACGCCCGTATTCTAAACTCACACTCAATGAGTGGAGGTTCAATCTGAGCTTCTCTTGAGTATCCATGCTGTTTTTGAATAGCTGGAGGGTGAGTAGTCTCATTGTAAGGTACGATAATAACCCTCCAGCTATTCAAAAACAGCACTGACACTCAAGAGAAGCTCAGATTGAACCTCCACTCATTGAGTGTGAGTGTGCTTTTAGAATACGGGCGTATAAGCCTTGCTTAAATTCGCTAATGATACCGCGTTACGGCAAAAATCATCACAAATTTCTCCACTCATTGAGCGTGAGTGAGCTTTAATCTAGTGCGGGGACATGACAAGAATCTGCCTTAAATTTTACAATTTTATAATTACAAAGAACTACTGCAACGGACGGCTATTAATAATATCATATTAATACAAAAAAAAAAACGAGCAGAAATGAACAATTAAAATCCCTCGGAAGTTGTCGAGATCGACGTCGCTCTGTTTACAACGGCAAAATACAATATGATACAGATTATCACCGTCTTACAGAAGCACACAACGCAGCTTTGTCAACGCTCACATTTCAAGCTGGGACAACTGCTACTTTCAATTCCTAGAACTTTTCTCAATCTTTAATTGTATTATTTTAATAATATACAGTTTAACCTCAATCCTTAAACTGCATGTATTATTTTTCATATACGATGGATAATTGACGACAAGTTTTCTTCAATCATTTGGTTCAACGAGTTTGTTTGGCTTCGTGTTGCCGTCCTATACATGCTGTGAACATACTGAAAATTTCGATTTTCACTGCCGGTCTCATGCAAAAGGGGCCTTAGTAAGAGGGGGGTAATGGG